ACTGTCGCTACAAGCATGCTTAGTGTGAGGGATTGCTGAAGAGTCAATGAGTCGATGCACTCAGCTGGTTTTCCTTAGATAGAAAACTTTGAATCAATCTGACTGGATGATCTGGTGAACTGTAAAGTGCCTTGAGATGACATGTGTTGTGAATTTGGCGCTATATAAATAAACTAAATTTAATTTAATTGAATTTATAATTATATGATTTTTTTTGTTAGGATCAACATGAGAACTAAATTTTAAACAGCATCACACAGTCACACTAATGACATTTTATATATTTAATGCAGAAAAACAGTGCAGTGGGTATCAGGCTTGGGAATGGTTTTGAAATTCAGATCTCTTCATTATGTTCTTCGGCCTCCCAGGATTCCTTAATGTTCACCGTTCATCTTTGGAGCTCCTGGATCAAGGCTTAAAAAGACAAAGTGATAACATGTCATATTGTGGTGCAAGCACAGAATACAACACATAAAAACTCTTCTAAATCTAGGAGCTGGACTTAACAGGAAAATTAAACCTTTCTTGTTTCTTGTTTGACTTGTGGAAGATAACTTCTGATTTAAAATAGTTTGATACTTTACCTTTGATAATTTCTTCCTTCATTTGCTGAAGTTCTTTTTTCACCTCCTCTATGATCTCCTTTAAACACAAATAGCTGTTAGATTGGTTTAGCTTTTAAATAGTTCATTAGTTTAAAACTAACCTTAAGAGATAATCAAGCAACATAACACAATGTCTTTCAATGCAACATCTGATTGAGACTAATTTAAATATAAAATTTTGATCAAACCTGTTTGATACGTGCGATATCACCATCACCTTCTGCACAATCAGAGTTTTTCGTCGCCACTTTTAGCCTGTTGAGGTAAGAGAAAGTTGTGCTTTCAATATTGTCTTAGACAGACCCAAAAGTACTTCATGCTGTCACAGAAAGGCAAGAACTACTGAAAACATAATTTTTCTTATTTGCAAGACACAAAAGAAATCTTTTTCTGACGACTTGTAATTGTTAGTAAATAGTTCAAATGACATGTGCTTATGATCTGAAAATAGATTAATAGATAGGCTGACCAGACATCCTCCTTTTCCCGGAAATTTCCTACTTTTCATACCTAAAAAAAGGTCTGGGGGAATTTCAAAATCATCTGGGATTTTAGTCGACTACAGTGCAGTGCAGCACGTAGTTGCATTTCACTGCTTAGAGAGTCGCTACGTGGTTGAAGGAGAGACACACAGCAGCACTCAGTGAATATTAACCAGCAGCTAATTCCGTGTTTAAGTAAACGTTAGGAGACGGGTTGGTTACGAGTTGCCACCAAAAAATCAGTTCGTTAGCAGAGGTGTCAAGTAACAAAGTACAAATAATTCGTTACTGTACTTAAGTACACTTTTTAGGTATCTTTACTTTACTCCATTACTTATTTTCCTCCTAATTCCTGCTTCTGCTCATTACATTTTCACACAAGTATCTGTACTTTCTATTCCTTACATTTTTAAAACAAACGTTGCTCGTTACTCTTGGCTTCGGTTTAATGCAGAGGTCACGGATTAGCGGACCGCGGTCCGGTGTTATGCCGAATAGTGCATCCCTGCCAAGATATGCATCCACAGTCGCGGGAGCGCGCCTCGCTCTGCACAACTGAGGCTATCGACGAGGAAAGCAGATTCAAATGTGACCAATGGCGCTACTTGTTGTTATTTTAATGATATAAAAATGTTTAAATATTTCTCTCGTGGGAAAAAGTTTGTGGTTATTTGGCAAATTCATTTACAAAAGTACCGGTGTTATGAACAACATTAAATCCAAAGATTTTGTCCGAGGTACGGCTGATTGATTTGTTCTAGGCTCTTGTTATTCACACACAACAATGAACAGTGATGCCGACGGGAGTTTGGAAACTGCAAAGCTTTGTCTTAAGCGGAAAATCAAACGCGCATCAACACAGCACAGCGTTCACAGACCAGTGTGATGCATTCGCAAGCGTCAGATAGCTATGGTGCATTCAGGAGCATGGGACATTTCACATTTACAAGGAAAGATACATAAATGGAACAGAACTTAATTCATACAATAATGTATTTATTCAGAAACATTGTGGGCTTTCTAACAATACTGAATGCTCTATAATTGTATTTCTGTTATTCTTTGATTATGCACAACTGCTAGCTTTTTATTCCAAAAATTCTAT